GGGCGCGTCCCCCGGCGCGTTCCCGGGCGAACTCTGCCCTCTTCCAACGCAGGTCACCATCGTGGGGATAATTCGGCACGCGGAGAAAGCACCGACAAACATTCTCTACAAAGTGGACGACATGACGGCAGCCCCGATGGATGTCAGGCAGTGGGTGGACACTGATGTGAGCGTCAGACTCATTACACTCCTCTAGAAAAGCTTTTGGGAACTGTGAAAAGAAAAAGTTATAGAATCGTAGAATATCTCAAGTGGGAAGAGACCCATCTTTTTCACAAAGATGTGGTTTTCCTGGAAAGCATCTTAGGGATAATGTGTCTGAGGTGGGAGGGAGATGCTGCAGCAGAGATCACTGGTGCTGTACCTGGGTCTTCTGTAATTCACACGTGATTCTGTGTGGAATCACTTTGTGTGTTGGAGTGTAGGTGCTGGAGCTCACCCCTTGCCTCATAGCTGAGCTGAGAGATGCAGGCTTGGTCCTTCTGTGTAGAAATTAAACACATGGAGAGAGGGCCAACAGATTTTTATGTGGCTCATAGAGGTGAGGACATGTAACAGCAAATGTCTTATTTTCTAATGCATGATTCCTGAAGTGCTGATGTAGGTAAGTTATTAACTTACTGTAAACAATTTAAGTGTAAACTACTGTAAATTAACTGTAAGTTTATAATAACTTCAATAAGGGTTCTGGCCTTCTCATCTGAGCAGCCTGCTGTAGTTGCAGATGTCCCTGTTCACTGCAGGGGGTTGGACAAGACAACCTTTAGAGGCCCCTTCCAGCCCCCACCACTCCATCGTTCTGTGCTTCCCTTTCCACAGGCAGCTCACGTGGCTGGACACAAGCAGGTGGTCACCATTTGAGAGTTTTTTCCTCTTGTTCTGTGGAAGTTCCTCAGTGGACAGAGAGAGGGGAGCAGACAGCTGGCTTTGACTGCTGGCAAGTGTACAGTGTGTTCAGATGAGCAAATAGGTTTTTATTTTATTTTTCATTTACAGTTCTTTTTAGCAAACTGCTTTTCCCAGGCACAGGAATGGTGGAATGCTGTTTGGGTGTGCTTGAGATAAGCCTCCTAAGTCACTGAGTGTGACAAGTGAGAGATGGTAACGTGGCTCAGCAGACCCTTCCCTTCTTTCCCTTGCCGTCAGGAGGCAGGTGGTGAGAACGTCGTGGTGCCTCCAGGAACCTATGTGAAGGTGGCTGGTCACCTGCGCTCCTTCCAGGTGAGCTGGAGTCACCCCTCTGGCAGCGAGCCCAGCTGGGGCACACGTGGGGGCTGGGATCTGGCACAGCACTGCTGGGCTCCCTCCAGAACACCCACCTGCTCCTGGCCTCTGCTGTGTGCAGCCTCCTCAGCGCTGCTGCCGGGGCTGCCTTGCCTAAACCTTGGCTGTTCCTGAACACAAAGGTCAGATGGCCCTTTGGTGGGACAGAGTCTGGCCACCAGGTTCTTGGGTATTGGTACTGCAGAGCTTAGACCAGGTCCTGGTTAACAGGGATGGTTCTTGTAGCCTATTATGGGATGTGGTTGCCTCATAACTGAATAATATGTCATTACTCCAGTAGCAGTGCATGCGTTAAAGCCAAGTGCAGTTCATTACCAGCTGGTCAGAGGAGTTGCCATGTCTGTGTTGTCTTGCAAAATCATATATGAAAATTTAAGTCAGAAAATTTTGGGCTAGTTAAATGCAGAGAAGCTCCCTACCCACCAGTGTCCCTGTTCCTGGAGGGAATGGCTGGACTGGCTCTTAACTGTGTTCCTGTTGCTGTGGTGGGACTTTTGTTTTTTTCTTTACTTTCTTTTTTTTTTTCTCTGAAAGAATAAGAAAAGCTTGGTGGCATTTAAGATCATGCCTCTGGAAAACATGAACGAGTTCACCACACACATCCTGGAGATTGTCAATGCACACATGATCCTCAGAAATAATCTTATGGTATGTACTTGAAGATCCTGATCCCGTCGTGGCCCTTGCTGGGTTCCTGGTTAGGGTGGGACCTGGTTAGAGTGGTTAGAGTAGGCTGCTGGAGAGCTGCAGCGAAGGTGTGGTGGCAGTCCTGGCTTCCTTGGAGAGAGGCTGCATGGCAGTCCCCTTCCAGCCATTTCTTTGGGGCGTCTGATTTTAATTACTGTGATTAGTTTCTCTGCACTGCGGCCTCGTGACGAGCGCGGTGGTTCTGCCCCTGTCGTTGCAGTCGGCCTCACGAGCTCCTCAGTCCTTCTCCTCCATGGGCATGGGTGATGTGGGAGGCTACACAGGAGCTGGCAACCTGCCCGTGAACGGGCTCACAGCACATCAGAGCCAGGTGGGTGCAGGCAGCTTCCCCAGGAGTGCGTGGCTGTGTGGGTGCTGCTGCCAGCTGCCCTAGGACAAAGGGGTGTGAGCTCAGTTGCTCTTGGATGGATGGTTTTCCCTTGACCTTGCTGTCTGTTGCTGATAGAGAAGCTCAGCTCTGTGCTAACAGTGCTTCTTGGTCGTCCAGGTGCTGAACTTGATTAAGAACTGTCCAGTCCCAGAAGGTATGAGTCTTCAAGAGCTGAAAGTCCAGCTCCACAATATGAGCATGTCAACAATCAAGTAAGTGTGTAAGAAACGAAGGATGTTCTGGCAATGCAGGCAGTCCTTCCTGGAGTCTGATCAAAGGAGGCAGAGAGGGAAGTAGCAGGGTGCAGATCCTTGTGCAGCAGCAGTAGTCATCCCAGATGTTCCCAGCAGTAGTGAGCCAGAGCTTTTGAAGCAGGTTGGCACCAGTCCTTGTCAGCTGAAGGGGTGACAAAGTGCTTCACTGTTTTCAAAGTGAGCTGTTGAACAGCTCAGTAGCAAAGGAGCAGGTACCCAGGAGTCCTGCAGTGCCTCAGCAGTATTTTCTGGTCAGGGACTGCCTTGCTCTCTGCACACCAATCAAAACTTGGGAATAAATTTTCTGTCCTCCTTTGCTGTAACTCCTCAACAAGACTAGGAACAGCTGTAATGCCTGCAGGCAGTGATCAGCAGTTAGCCCTGAAGCAGAGTGGTAGGCACTGCTGTTCCCTGGGAAGTTCTGGGAGTTGGAGCCCTCCTCTGTGTAGCAGGCAGGGTCTAGGAGCTGCTGGGGAGCACGTTGCCAGAGCTTTGGAGAAACCTCCAGTACGTGCTGACTAGGAGCTGCACTTCAACTGCTCCTGGGACAGAGCCACCCAGAGCTTCCCTTGGCAGCGCCAGCGGGGAGCAGTAGGGCTGGGGTCTGGAAGTGGGAGTCCCTGAGGGAAAGGTGATGATAGGAACAGTTGGGAATGGCTTTTTTTTCCTCTTGAAAGGCAAGCTGTTGAGTTCCTCAGCAGCGAGGGACACATCTACTCCACTGTGGATGATGATCACTACAAGTCAACGGATGCTGAGTGAAGTTACTTCCAGCTGGAAGCTCAAAGCAAGTGCTTGTCTATGTGTCCAGTTACTCTGCTGAGCTTTGTGACGTGGAAGGTGAGCTTTGCTCTTTCTAGCCTCTGAAAGTCCCAGTTACTCTGAGTGGCTCCACCCCAGCCTTCCAGGGACGAGCAGAACACAGAGCACTCTGGTACTGGACTTGCTGATGTGCCATGGCCATGACTGAGAGTGTTACCAGGCACGGGAAGACTGAACTGCTCAAAGCCTCAGCCTGCAGTTTGGCTTGTCTCCTTAGAGGAAGACTGGACCCCTTTCTAATCTTGTCCTGGGCAGATTCTTTTGTTTTTAGACTTGTTTCTTCTAACTCAGATTTCATTTCATTTCGATTTCATTTCATTTCAGTTTCATTTCATTTCAGTTTCATTTCAATTTCATTTCATTTCAATTTCATTTCATTTCAATTTAATTCCATTCCATTCACAAGGTGGGTAGCCAAGAGTAATATTCCACTCATGTACAGTAATCATGAACAGAGTAATAGGTTTAGTTTATGCATTTAAATCTATATTTGTACTATGAGGTGATCTTGTTACTAGAGCTTTTGAGTGTTTCCAATAAAATTCTAACTTGAGTAGCCTTGGATGCGTGTGGCTCTAGAGGATTCTCTTCTCCCCTAGAGAAGAAAACCTACCATGTGAGGAAGCAGAGTTCCTGGAACTATACTTCTTTATTCCTTTGCTTTTGAACTAAATTGCTTTAAAGGGACAAACAGAAGTGAACATCTTGATGCTAAGAAATCAAATAATAGCACTGCTGAAGAAAATCCCAGGTTGTGTCAGCACGCCCAGTGTAGCCAGGGTCATTTCTGCCACCAAAAGTACCTTAGCTGCAGCCCAAATGAGTCACATCCTGTGGCACAGGTTTCTCTTCTTTAAACTGTTAGGCTCTCCCTGTTAGGCTTTAAAAACAGAAGAGATCTAAATGAGGAGAGAGCAGGGCTGATACTGGTCAGGGCAAATTCACATTTCCTGTTTCTCTGCCCATAAAACGCGGCGCTGAAAACAGCTTCTGGGAATTGGTTTGCATGTCTTGGGTGGAGCTGTGTGGGAGCTCATCAGAACATTTCTCACCATGACCCCAAGGGCACACAGCTTCTGTGGTGATGGAGTTGCTGAGAAGCAGAACCCAGGAGCCTCCCAGCGGGGGGCTGACACCCCGTGTGCTCGCTGCCGGCCGGGACCCCGCTGGCCTGGCCTGGCCTGGCCTTCCATGGCAGCTGCTGCAGGGACCACCAAGCCAGGGCTGGAGCCGGCCAGCTCCAGGTGTCACAGGGCCTGCAAGTCGTGAGGTTTTGTGCTGGGGGCTGGGAAGCCACCAGGCTCTGAAGTGCAGCTCCCTGGGGGCCGGTGGCCCCACGGCAAGGCGGCAGAGCCCGGTCCTGCAGGGCAGGGGGACACAGCTCTGCCCCTTGGGGCTGAACGGGGCTGCAGGCGTGGAGCAGGTGAACTTTGAGGCTGTGCAATCCAGCAGATGGAGAAGCCAGAGGTACTGTTCTGTCCCTTTGGCAGGAGGTGTGCTGGTTAGGAGGAAAATCCTGGGTGATGTCTGGAATTGTGTGTACTGAAGAGAGAAGTTGTGCAACTGGACAAAACACTTGTGACTGGAGAGGAAAAACTCACTGGTTGGGAAGGGAGTTTAAGTCATTTGTTGTTGCATCTTCTGAGCACCCAGGAGCATCTGCTGTTTGTGTCCAGCTGGAGGGATGACTGGGAATAGGTCTTAGGGGACAGAAGCATTGTCTGCTTCACAGAAAGTCTGCATTTAAAACGATCTCTGAACTAACAGTGAAATCCAAACTTGGAATGCTTTTGGTTCAAATGAAGGAGACAAGGAAAACAGTTGAACATGTTCAATTGTTCTGGTTTCCTCTATGCTCTGCTCCCTTCTCCCTCCCTGGATCCCATCTTCTCTCCAGCCATAGGCCAGCAATTAGTTTTGTCCTGGGAGAAGTTAAAACTAGACACTGGTGTGACTTAAACACCTGCTGGTCCCTGGCGTTGTGTTGGGTCCCTTGGCTGAAGCTTTGTACACTGTATGAAGCTGAGGTTGTTCAGCCTGCAGAAGACTCCTGGGACCTTCTTGTGGCCTTTCAGTACATAAAAGGGCTTATATGGAAGATGGAAAGAAACATTTTACTGGGGCCTGTAGTAACAGGACAAGGGGCAATGGTTTCAGACTGGAAGAGGGTAGGTTTACACTGGACATTGGGAACGTGTCTTACCATGAGGGTGGTGAGGCACAGGAACGGGTTGCCCAGAGAAGCTGTGAACACCCCCTCCCTGGCTGTGTTCAAGGTCAGGCTGGATGGGGCTTCGGGTAACCTGATCCAGTGGAAGGAGTTGGACTGGATGATCTTTTAAAGGTCCCTTCCAACCCAAACTGTGACTCCCTGGTCCTGTGATTTAAGTGTTAATGAACATCTAGCGCCCGCGGAGAGCCGAGTTCTCCTCAGTGAAAGGACCTCAACAGCAACAGCCAGAGCCTCTCCCACAGTGCTGGTCTGAGGAGAGTGCCCACACCACGTGGAAACCCCAGGGCAGAACCAAAGCCAGAGGAGGAACCCAGCCCAAACCCAGCCTGGAACTCAAGCCAAGTCCAACGGAATGAGATGGCTGCTGCAGCTTTGGGACTCTACCCTAGGTGCTCAGTGAGGCATGATGTGAACTGGAAAACTGAACCCAGAGCTACTCTTCACTGGAAGAAGGTGGAAAAAAAAAGTTTGATCTTAAATGAAATGTGAAATTTATTTTCCAGCTCTGATTTGCAAGAAGAGGAGCACAGTGTGTGATGCAGGACTGAGATGCCTTCCTTCTGGTGGACCTCTCCCCTCGTCTCCCTTAGTGCACATCAGGACTATGAGGTCTTTGTCTCTACCACTTCCCTTTGGGCTTTGCCAAACTTCCAGGAAAAGAAGAGTGGAACATTGGGCCCTATTTGGTTTTCAGGTCATTTTTTGCATCCAGTGATATGAGTGTGGTAGAGGCCTTTGCAGGTGCCACAAAGCTGCAAGCGGGTGACAAGAGTGCTCACAGGCAGGAGGGGACAAGCTGTGGGGGTCCAGCACTGATGCTGCCTCCAGCTGCAAGTGCAGTTAAAAAATGGATGTGAAAACCAGCAAAACCTAAAGCCACAACACTTTGAGAATGTCTCTACAGCCTTGCTGAAAAATTCAGGCAGGGTGAGAAGCGAGTTTGGCTGTGCCTGAGAAAATGCAGCTGCTGCCTGCTCAAAGTGGGCTTCTGACAGGCCCTTGTGAAGAGCCTGTCAGGGGGTGGCCTGAGCCCCAGCTGGGGAGCAGTGTGTGCTGTGGGAAGTCCCTGTCACCTCTCCTCGTGACCCCTCCCCGCCCCACGGGCCGGGCAGTGCCTGCCAGGGCTGGCCCTGGGTCCTCTTCACCCAGAGGCATCTGCGACCCCAGCCCAGGAGCTGTGGCACAACAGCAGAGCAGGGTGACACCCACGTCCCAGGGCCTGGGCTGGCATCTCAGTGGCATCTTGGTGGCTGCCTGGCTGGTTGCTGATCTGGTGCTGGCAGAGTCCCACGGGTGACAGCTGAGGACACAGCCCGCAGCACAACAGGGGGATTTATTCTGTGCCCAGGGCTGTCCTGATGGCATTTGGGCTGCTTTCTGCAGGATCTGGGCAGCTGGAGGTTGTACTGTGGTTCCTTCTGGCTGTTTCTAGCCTCTGCAAAGAACCAATGTCATGTAAGGTCTTGGAGTATTTGGAGGTTGGGTGGCTTCCAAAAACCAGAGGACTAGAAAGGAAAAAGTGCTTGCATTTTGTGAATTGTCTTTTGAACGCTGCCATCCACAGTCTCATAATCATGTTCAGGGCTGTCGTGCTCGGTGCCTGGAAGGGGAGAGAACAGCCTGCAGAAAATACCACCATGGACTGTGGCAAAAACTCCATGGGGACACCCAACCTGCCCTCCCCACTGAGCTGTGCCAGGACACTGCAGAGACCCAAGGTGGGGAGGGTCCCTGGTGTGGTGGGACCGCCCCCCACACCCCAGCCTCTGGGGCCACAGGTACCCAGCCACCTGGGGCACTGGAAGGCAGATGGAGGCAAAGGCTTGTTGGTGGTGTTCACACCATCGCCCTCGAGGTCCCCGCGTGGGACACGTGGGTGGTGTGGCCTCCCCATGGGCTCCCCTGTTTGTGGGACAAGGGGAGGGGGCAGCCCCCTATGATTCCCCCACAATGTGTAGGAAAAGTGGACGGGGCAGATCCTGTGTGGGCACCCCCAACCTATGTGACACCCCTGCATCTGGGACAAGGGGATGGGGAGGTGCAGCCCCCACGGGGGCCCAGCTGCTGGGGTGTCACCAGCTGAGCACCCCTGGTCCCTGTGAGGGCCACCCCCTGTGGTGGACAGCAGGACCACCCGAGAGCAGG